GACAACCCACCATCTCAGTCTGTTTGTGTTGCTGTCACAGAATACTATAGATCGGGTAATTTATAAAGAACAGAAATTTACTCTTCACAGTTCTGGAGGTTAGAAGTCCAAGATCAAGGTGCTGGTTTCTGGTGAGGGCTGCTCTCTGCTTCTTTTTGTTTGAGACAAAGTCTCGCTCTGTTGCCAGGCTGGAGTGCAGTGGCGCAATCTCAGCTCACTGCAACCTCTGCCTCCTGGGTTCAAGTGATTTTACTGCCTCAGCCTCCCGAGTAGGTGGGACTACAGGCGCCCACCACCACGCCCAGCTGATTTTTGTATTTTTAGTAGAGACGGGGTTTCACCATGTTGGTCAGGATAGTCTTATCTCTTGACCTTGTGATCCACCTACCTTGGCCTCCCAAAGTGCTGGGATTATAGGCATGAGCCATTGCAGCCGGCCGGGCTGCTCTCTGCTTCTAAGATCTCACCTTGAATCCTGCATGTTCCAGAGGGAAGAAATGCTGTGTCCTCGCATGGCAGAAGACAGAAGGGCAAAAAGGCCCAACTCCCTCCCTCAGGCCTTTTTGTAACAGCATTAATCCATTCCCGAGGGCAGAGCCTCAGGAGCTAAACACCTCCCAAAGGGATCCATCTCCCAACACTGTGGTACTGCAGAGTAAGTTTCCAATACAGAAATTTGGGAGACACATTCTGATTACAGCATCCACACAGTGACTGAGGGTAGTGCCCGGAATACAATCAACATGAAACAAATAATCAATACACTTTTATTGCAGTCCTATCATGTTTACGGTATTCAAAACACAGATCATTTCATTTGTTCCTCACAATCAAACTGGCAAGTTGGGACAGCAAGCAGCTTCTGATGAGACGAGTGAGGAAATGCCAAGGTCAGTGTAAGTAACAGAGACAGGGCCGGCTCCCTGGATTCTCCTGCCATGTTAACAGCTCTTCCGCCACTCTGCCAGGCTACTTTACCTTTACAAAGGCACAGCAATGTTAATTCTGAGTCTTCTTGTGAAATAATAGCCATACTCATCCCACAGGCAAACCCAATGCAGTCCACCTCTGTGAGAGGTCAGGGCAGCCATCTTTGCAGGTAGGAATCCCACCAGGACTCTGGGTTGTCTTCAAAGGATGCCAAACCCTTGCTTGGTTGATTATTAAATCAAATGGTTCTGCCCTAAATCACTAGAGACTTATCAGAGACTCTTCCTTGAGAACAACCTCAAAATCATGGCTAGTAAACCTAAACAGATCAGAATATACTCAAGAAGCCTGAAAAATACAGTCCGTTTAGTCCTCTCCACAAACCAAGTTTTATCCTTACACAAAATGAGATCGTCAGAGACCTTGAAGGCTCTGAGTGTCTCTTGGGTGCACGTGGAAGGACGACAGTTGTAAAAATGACCACTAACATCTTTAAACAGCTTTGTCCACCGCAGCTCATGGGGCCAGTCAAGTGACTCCACAGAAAACAGAGGTCAAGCTCCAGTGTCAAATAAAGCTGTATTTGTCATACATATCTAATTCTAAAAACTTTTAGATATTGTTAATCTTGTAATTTATCACATCCCCTCTTTAACACTAGGATATAGAACCAAAATGTGAGCTCCAGCCCCACTGCCGAACACCTGTGCAGTTATAAGGCATGCACAACCACGTAGCTGGAGTTTCTTCCGACTGCCTTGCCGTTGCTTCTTTCCTCTACGATTTATCACTTTTATCTCTAATTGCTCTGAATGTGTCTACACAAATGGCTTCAAATCCTTTTTACATATTATGCTGGCAATTAAAAAGCATAAAAACTCTTGTCTTGGGGCTAGCAAATTCAGTCAATGGGTATTTGGTATGGTCTAAATGGGGATGTCCCCCAGCAAATTCACATGTTGAAACCTAGTCTCCAATGTGACAGTACTAAGAGGGGGGCCTTTGGGGAAGTGATTAAGCCAGGAGGGCTCCGGCCCCATGCATGGGCTTGGTGCTCTTATAAAAGAGGTTGGAGGCAGCACTCTCATCCTTCTCACCGTGTGTGGGCACAAAAAGGCAGAGGGCAACCCTCCCCAGACGCCGCATCTGCTGGTGCTTTGATCTTGGGCTTCCCAACCTCCAGAACTGTGAGCAATACATTTCTGTTGTTTATTATAAATTACTCAGTGGTATTTAGCTATAGCCCACTCAACAGACTAAGACAGTATTTGTGCTGATAATTGATAAAATAAAACTTAACGTGAAAGTTAGTATTTTAAACAGCTCCACGTGGATTTACCCAAAGATGTGCTGCTAAAAAGCTGGGTACATTTTTAAATGTCCAAATTAAAATGAAACTTAAGATATACCTAATGTAAATAACGAGTTAATGGATGCAGCACACCAACATGGCACATGTATACATATGTAACAAACCTCCTGTTGTGTACATGTACTCTAGAACCTAAAGTATAAAAATAAATAAATAAATAAATAAATAAACACCCAGGAGCGCTGCTGGGCCTGCAGGTCTCTGTCGAGTCTCTGTTCCACAGGATGGGGTTTGTTAAAGTTGTTGAGAATAAGGCCTACTTTAAGAGGTACCAAGTGAAATTTAGAAGATGACGATAGGGTAAAACTGATTATCACGCTCAGAAGCACTGGAGATACAGGATAAAAAAAAAATACAACAAAATAAAATGAAACTTAAAAGCATTGGAAAGACTAATACCTGTAAGAATACTATGCTGGCTGCTATTATAACTTGACAATTCTACAAAGCATATAAATTACTCCTTAACTTGCTTGTAAGTCTAGATAATTACATATTTTCACTTATAAAAGGCAGAGTATATAATTTACAACATTAAACCAATAGTTATAACACGCCATAAACTCCAAGGGAAGGGAAAAGCAATAAAATGATCTTACTGTGAACTTTACGCCTGGTTGTGATCGGTTTCCAAGTTGTTTGATTTCTAGTCTAGCCAACATGCAAGATAATCGAGTAGGTGCAAATAATACAGAGATGATAATGTCTTCCTTTGGGTGAATTCTGATCTCACAGTTACTGGTCAATCGCTGTTCTGAACCAAAAGTGTTCTGAAGCTACAATTTAAAAACAGTAACTGCATAAAACAAAGCAGCAGCACAAACAAAACATACCATTAACACCAATTCTTAAAAGGTAACAACACAAAAGGGTCTGCATAGGTAAGTGTTGCAGACCCAGACAGAAGACACAAGAACCCACATACTCTACGAACCTGAAAGCAGTCCTGATCTTGTCCTCTAACTAGCAGTCGTAAATGTTGCGTTGTGGATGCAGAATTATTTCTCAAAGCTAGTTTCTGAAGCCTAAAAACAATTACACATTTTAAATATAGTTTTTCTCCATGGATATTGCTATCGTTATAAGAACAAAGCCAATTAAAACCAACCACAATGTCTACAGAAGAACTGACTATACGAGCCACTTCAGCAGCCTGCAATTGTCTCCCCACAGTCCTAGACTCTATGTTTCTGAAAATGTAGCCTCAAGACTCACCCTATAGAGGCTTTTTGTTTAATCTCTCTCCAGATATAGCTCTGCAGCTGACCTTATTATTTATACTACGTGTATAGGTATTATCTGTCATATAAAACATCAATCAATGAAAATCCAGGTGAAGAAATTCATCAAGTCATTAAGTCAATATCACCCCTAGCTGGAATACCTAGCTTATCCAAGCGAGCTTTCAGGGAAACAAGGGGTCCTAGGCTACGAGGCTCATTTGCACAAAGTAGTCTTTTAAACAGTATATTGAATTAACTCTACTTTTAAAGAAGCTACAATGCAAAAGAATGGACATATAATAGCACCTGACTGATAAAAACACTTCAATTGTGGAAACTATGTGAATCCTGTCTTCACTGGAGAACAGAGAATACATGAGTAAATCTCTGTTTTACTCAAAGTTGGAGAAGATCAGCAGCTAATAAACCAGCAGCTGAGGTCTACGTCTCATCTACCTGTGTTAAGAGAAACGCAGACAACTTTGCCTATTGACACCTCCAGGAAAAGCCTTCCACAGGGACAATGACTGGGGAAGAATTACCTGAAAGAAACATTATTTTGTAAAGTTTTCATTCTCATGTATTTATAACTTGTAAAGCCCTGTCTGTGGTTATCATTTTCAAGTACAGAGCTATCAGGCGGGCTGGGAGAGGCTAGGTCTCCATAGAGCTGTCAGGCGGGATGGGAGAGGCTAGGTCTCCATAGAGTCACATCATCAGTGAAACGCACTCGAAAGTCAAGAACAAGCCAGTTACTGCTCGAGTGACGTGTAATTGTTTCTGCCACAGGCTTCTCAGAGACGTTTCTTCCAGAGATCCTTTTAAAGATAAACCTGTACAATACAGGGAGTCTCAAAAAAAAAAACCCCCCACCAAACAATTTTACAGTAAATACTACCTCCCATTTCCTAAGGTACCCCTCTCCCTTACATGCTCCATTCAGTGTGGTCGGGAAGTTTGACACCCAAGTCTGGTGCATTAAAAACACTTCTATGGGTTTTGCTAAAACCATGCGGTTGCTGACTGAGAAATTTAGATCATTCAGAAGAATGGATGTACTGCATATTCTCTGTGCAGCTCTCCATAAATCTGTCTCTTAGCTGGCTTTTGACAACTACAGAGTGGCAGTGAGTTTAAGGGAATACTCCCTCCTCAGCAGCAACTGTACTGTTGGTCATGCGTCAGGTGCTCTTTGCAGGACTGGAATGTATGTGAAAGAAAAGCTGAATCAGGACACGCGCCCATCTAGGAGGTTTTTCCAGTTCTGCACAATTGAGCCTGAAGAGTGTCTATTATGACAAAATTTTCCTGCAAACATTAATTTGTGGTCTGCTCCAAAATATGTATAAATAGTGGACTATTTGTCAGTATTTGACACTTACTGTGTTCTACCAAGAGGGACGCCTCCCCAAGCCAGAAATTGTTTGTTGGACAAAATCGATGGAATATCTAAGCAAGGTCCAGGTGACAGAGGTTTACTTCCTGAAGAAATGACTTCACCTTTTAACATGACTTCATACTGAGGTCCAAATGGCTGCACAAGTATTTTCAACATCCTAAGAAAGAATTCTGAGTTGAAGGTCCTGTATTTGATTCTCTTCCCAACTATTTCCTACATGTTTCCATTGTTCAAAAGACTGAGCTAGGTGCTGGGGATATGATGCTATTCCCACCCTTAGAGTTTGTGCTGCAGAGAAGAATACAGACAAGGAGAGAGACGATCACAATGGCACCTGCACGTGGGGGGTGTGAGAAGCCATCGTGCTTTGGGAATGCTATTTATGAGACATTTGGGAACAGTGGAGGAAAGTCTCCCAGAAGGCGCCAGCCCAGGGAGGTTGAGAGCAGGCATTCCAGGCAGAGGCATTCACGCTGGTGCAGACCAGACCTTTCTCTTCTGTAAGGTCACAAGAACAGACTGAGCACACGGTGAAGTGTTCTATAACCCAGGCAGGGGGATAAGCCATGTGTGTGTCAGAGGAGAGGGTAACACAAGCAAGCTCAGTACTCTTGACAGTGGGGCTCTGACTCTAAGTTGATACTCACTCATGATTTGGGTGCCAAGAAGTCATGGGCTTAGAGAAGAAATGGAGAAAGATCTTAACAGCTGACACGGTCAACTAATACTTTCAGGAGAAAAAGTGAGAAACATCAGGCCAGGCACGGTGGCTCACGCCTGTGGTCCCAGCACTTTGGGAGGCTGAGGCGGGCGGATCACGAGGTCAGGAGATCGAGACCAGCCTGGCTAACACGGTGAAACCCCGTGTCTACTAAAAAAATACAAAAAACTAGCTGGGCGAGGCGGCGGGTGCCTGTAGTCCCAGCTACTTGGGAGGCTGAGGCAGGAGAATGGCTCAAACCCGGGAGGCGGAGCTTGCAATGAGCTGAGATCCGGCCACTGCACTCCAGACTGGGCGACAGAGCGAGACTTCGTCTCAAAAAAAAAAAAAAGGTGAGAAACATCAAATTGATCTTTTATTACTTACTTTTGTCAGAATATACTTGAAAATAATAATTTCTTCATTTCTATTCAGGTGGTTTAAAAGAAGATTTTTAGTTAAAAAAAGAGAAGACAATCTGAAGCTAAATGAAAGGAGATTAAACAGAGTCATACCATCTGTTAGGTAAGAAATATATGGACTTTGTCATTCAGGCTGTGAAATTTTGAAGCACATGTGAGTGGCTGTTTTGAGAGACGAGTAAAACTGTCATTAAAACTTTTTTTTTTCAGACGGACTCTCGCTCTGTCGCCCAGCCTAGAGTGCAGAGGTGTGATCTCGGCTCACTGCAACCTCCGCCTCCTGGGTTCAAGCGATTCTCCCGCCTCAGCCTCCCGAGTAGCTGAAACTACAGGTGCACACCACCACATCCTGCTAATTTTTGCATTTTTAGTAGAGACAGGGTTTAGCCATGTTGCCCAAGCTGGTCCTGACCTCAGGTGATCCACCCGCCTCGGCCTCCCAAAGTTCTGGGATTACAGGCGTGAGCCACTGTGCCCGGCCCATTATAACATTTTTGTGTTACCTTTCCTCACAGGCTTCAGGATCCTTTGGAGTAAATGAAACAATAACCTCATGTTCTTCTCCAGGTTTAAGGAATAGATTCTTTGGATCCACTGAAAAGTGACTTCCTTGTTCTGGGACCTAAATATAGTTACATAATCATAACTGAATGCCAACTTATAGTTACATAATCATAACTGAATGCCAACTTATAGTTACATAATCATAACTGAATGCCAACGTACAAACCTCAGCTTCCACTCAGTGCTCAGTGGCTCCTGCCGTACGTGCCCTTCTCACTTACTAGGACAGGTTGTTTGTCCTCTTCTCATCTGTCATGGTCTCAACTTGCCCTGTTCTCTTGGAAAGGATATTTCTTTCTCTTCTACAGCAAACCTTATCTTCCACCTCACCCCCAATTTTGGATCACTAACCCCCTCTCACTCACCCTCAGATCTCAGAAATGATGTCAATGTGTGTGGATCACTCTCCACCAACTCCAACCAAAGGGTGACATGCATGTTTTTCAGGAACTAATCTAAGAACTTGGTTCTCATATTCAAGACACTAGCCTTCAAACTTAAAAGCGCCACAGCATACATTTTACGTTATATAACACCCAGTTTTTAAAAACTCTCAGTGATTCTTTCATCTGAGGCTCAGGGCACTCTGTTGGGCCAGGAAGGGCACAAGAGCCCTGCAGAAAGCAAGGAGCTCTCGCAGTCTAAGGAAAGCCTATCGTATGGCACTCTGATGGAAGTGCATACCTTGATATCCAAATAAACTTCAATGTTCCCAGCATTTTTCAAAGGTAAGTGCTGCTTTGTTGAGGAAGCCACTTTGGCCAAGAAATGCATCGTCTGGAGGATGGGGCAAGATAGACATTTCAACGAACTGTCACAAAGTGAAATCAGCATGAATGAAAGCAGTAATGGCAGAAAGGAGGACTGAGGCTACCTGCAAGTCCCTGGGAGCGTGGATCCTAGCTATTCCCGCTCTTGCTCGGAGACTCACACTTCTAAGAACTGGCGTAGGGTTTGGGCTGTCTACTTCTATATCAACTTTTGCGAAGAATTCTTCTGCTGAGTCCAGAACCTCTAAAAAAAAAAAAAAGAAAAAATACATTCTTTTAGCTCAGAGACCAGAGAGTTGTTTAATTCTAAATGCCATCAGCAGTCCCACATAGTGCCCTTAGGGGCAGTAAGAACATTTAGGCAAGAAGATTTTTAAGAGTTAAAAGAAGAGAAATGAGTGAAGAGAAAGGTGGAAAAAGAAAGAAAACATTCAACTGGTAAACGTGATAAGATCAATTAATAGAAAACATTTGAAAAGGTTTTCAGTGCTACCTGCAGGAGTTACCCACACTTACACAGGACTGACGCAAAACAGCATGCCATCTGCCTCAATTTCAAAAAAACATAAAATACTTGACAAATTTCGAGGTACTGACACTTACTGACAAAGGAAATACATCTCAAATTTATAGTTTATTTAGCTACAGATTAAAGCAGTTCCCACACAATGTAAACATGATACCTGAAGAGCTGATCTGTTTCTTTGGACTATGGAAAAGAACCCAAATCATCAGAAATTCTGGATCCTATTAAAATTAAAAGAAAAATTTGACTTAATGTAAACTGGTATTAAGATTAAAATCTTAATGAAAGAAAAGCAGTTTAGCAGCTTAATCTCCTCTTTAATTCTAAGCCAGTTCTCTCCTACCTGTCCATCATAACTAGCAGGCATCATGTGGTTGACCACAGAAGGGCCTGCTAGCCGGGTGACCACATCAGTGCAAGAAGCAGCTTCCGCAGGAGCTCGGACGGGTTCCTTGGAAAACACGAAACAGCGCCAGGCTACGGCGTTCTGTTTAGAAATACAAGAATCAGTTCAGTAAAGCCAACAGTGTAATGCTAAGCTTGTTAACAAAATCCTTTAAAAAATGTACTTTCATAAGATCAGTGCATTCTGTAAACAGTTTCTTACTGTATGTTCGTACTTACAGCATTAATAATCAGTCTAATTGGCACAGTGGCATGCGTTCGGTTTATCAATTTTAGTGGGAGAGCTTTCCAGCCTCCATAAGTCAAGTCACCAAAATCAAGAACATCTTTCTTTTCTGTTTCTACCTAATTACCAAAAAAAGGGAATGATTGAAAAGTAATATATTAATAAATAGCACAACATGTATGTTCATATGACTGCCATTTCTAGCCACAAATTATGAGTTAGCATTAAGTAAAACTTACCACATTTTCCCAGGCTATTTAACAACTGCTTATTTTCTACAAAAATAAATGTTAATTTATTCTTTTGAGGTAGTTGATGTACCCAAATATACTATAGAATTCAGCTGCTGTTACTTTGAAAAGACTGTATCTTAAGATGAACTGATAATTTTATAAAATTATAGACCCCTTTTCAATGAGTTCTATTATTAGAATAATGACTTCTCAATTCCTTTCAAAAATACTATGAATATCTTGGCATTTTCAGATGTAATCTGCAAATGTTAAAATGGTATCAAAACAGACATATCAAAAGTTTAAAACAAGTGCCTGTGATCATGACAGACTCACTTCCCTAAATGCGGGAACCAATCAAACTCAGACCCTCACACACCCATATGTGGAAACGTTTGACACTACAGGAACCCTCACTGGATATCCAAATTCATGAATGTCCCTGACAGGAAATGTCACAGTATTTGCATATAGCCTAGGCACATCCTCCTGTATACTTCAAACCATCTCTAGATTACTGACAGTACCTAATATAATGTAAATGCTATGTAAATAGCTGTTATACTTTATTATTAGAGAATAATGAAATAATGACAAGAAAAAAATGTCTATACATGTGCAATACAGAAGCAACTACCCCTTTTTTTATTCTGAGTATTTCTGATCCAAGGTTGGTAAAACACAAGAATGCAAAACCCACAGATTCAGAGGACAGACTGTATCTCACACACACACACACACACACACACACACACACGCACACGTGCACGCATTTTGCTTTGCGCTACCCAAACACAAAATAAGTGGAGATCAAAGGCAGACCACTAAGTGGGAGCTGATTTCCATGGTGGCCCAGGAAGGTCTGGGTTCCAGACTTGCCCTCAAGGTGGTAGAGCTTTAATACGTTCCAGAGAACAGAAGATGTGACTTCAAGCTTGCTATGCGCAGGGCGAGGCTAGAATGGAATTTGAAATCTGCACATAAAGCCCAGAAATTCAAAGGAATGAAATGAAAAGGGAACTGCAAAAACTGTTCACATGTCTATGGAGTCAGCAAGGAACCTGTCCAGAGATGGGTGGCATAGAAGATTATTTGCAAGAACATGAAAGCCTAGGCCTAGGCCACATGGGACAGGGGATCCCCAAGTTGAAAAAAATCACAAAGGCTTTTAACACCTCCAACATTTCTGCAAAAGTACTCTCTAGAGACACTTCCAAAGACTAAGACACGTCATGGGATTCCTAAAGCAAAAAGCAGCCTCAATGAATGTGAGCTCACATTAAAATTTTTTAAATATCAAAAAATTAGAAGGCACTGGAAGAAAATCAGAAAGACTCAGCAAAAGTAACTAGTAGAAGCATTAGTAACCCAAGAACTAGAAACATGAAATAAACTATGAAGTAAATTCACTTTAAATGTAGATAACAGGGCTGGGCGTGGTGGCTCACGCCTGTAATCCCAGCACTTTGGGAGGCCGAGGCGGGTGGATCACAAGGTCAGGAGATCGAGACCATCCTGGCTAACACGGTGAAACCCCGTCTCTACTAAAAATACAAAAAATTAGCCGGGCGTGGTGGCGGGTGCCTGTGGTCCCAGCTACTTGGGAGGCCAAAGCAGGAGAATGGCGTGAGCCCGGGAGGCGGAGCTTGCAGTGAGCCGAGATTGCGCCACGGCACTCCAGCCTGGGTGACAGAGCGAGACTCTGTCTCAAAAAAAAAATTTTAAAAACTTAGATAACAGAGTCCGTAACAGAGGGAAAAGCAAGAGATTCATGAAGCAATGGTGAGCAAAAAGATGTATAAATAGCTTGATAAATCTGTTTACAATGTTAATGTTGGGACTGTAAAAACTGTTTAGAACTAAAACATTAGTCAAAGGTAATACGGAAGGAAAAGATGAGCATTTAAATGAGATGCTGTCTTCGTCTTGTTGGAGGAGTTTGCTTTAGTTAGACATCTCATTATTGAAGTTACATATTAGTGTTGAAAGTGAACTATTTGAGTGAGTTCAGATGGTAACATGGCATTTTGAATACTGACTTCCTTTCTTGATTTGCCTGGTGACCGAATTACTAGTGACTAGTTTACAAACTAGGCCATTCAAAGAAGTCAAGTTAACGTAAAAGAAACATGTCACCTAAATGCACTTGATGGTGTTGAAATGTCCACCTTCTTAAACTGTGTGATGAAATTACTTCTAAAGAAGATACCAGGCCAACCCTGTAGTGCCCCCAGTTTGTTGCAGAATCTCATGTTTTAGATGTTATACAAGAGTCCTATTCGCCCCAGTTAATGCCTGTCTTGTGGACTGGCTGGCTCTTTTAGAACTCTGTCCAAAGACTGCAGGGAATATAACTTGTAAAGCCTCCCACAACTGGCAGTATGTATGTGGGTGTGTTTAAACCAAATCTTGAAAGCTTACAATAGAGCTGCATAGTGATAGTATTTATTAAAGAATCACAATTGTAAACATGAGCACAACTTACGGATTCTAGCTTACTTCTTTTGTAACTACAGACTATATTTTTGCTGCTGTTATATTAGAATAATTTTTAAATGTCACCTTGAAATAGAAATATGTATTTTAAGCACTCATGGAAAAAATGAATGCTTTTTAAATGTGTGTTATTTTCTCCGTAAGAACTGTAAACATTAAACTAAACAAATTACCTATAATGAAACTGATGAAGGTCTTCTGAGCAAGCTGGTTTGGCCAGAGAGCATACACAAACTTTTATATACTACAGAATGCTATTACACTTGGGAAATTATCTTGTCTAACCTGAATTTATATCCCATGGTGATAACACGGTATATGTATTGTTATTAAAGTAAGTGACCATGTTTAAAAAAAAAAAAAAACTATTAGAACTGATTTAAAAAGTTTCAGTAAAGTTACAGGATACAAAATTAACATATAAAAGTCAGTAGCATTTCTATACGCCAACACTGAACTGTGTAAAGAAGAAATTTAAAAAGTAATCCCATTACAATAGCCACACATAAAATTAAATACCTAGGAATTAACTTAATCAAAGAAGTAAAAGACCTCTATAATGAAAACTATAAAACACTGATTAAGGAAATTGAAGAGGACACCAAAAAATAGAAAAACATTCCGTGTTTACAGACTGGAAGAATCAACATTGTTAAAATGTCCATACTACTTCACAGAAATAGAAAAACAAAATCCTAAAATTTACATGGAACCACAAAAGACCTGGAATAGACAAGCTATCCCAACCAAAAAGAATAAAACTGGAGGAATCACATTACCTGACTTCAAATTATACTACAGAGCCACAGTAACCAAAACAGCATGGTGCTGGCATAAAAACAGATACACAGACTAAAGGAACAGAATAGAGGACCCAAACACAAATCCGCACACCTACAGTGAACTCATTTTTGACAAAGGTGCCAAGAACATACACTGGGGAAAAGACTGTCTCTTCAATAAATGGTGCCGGGAAAACTGGATATCCATATGCAGAAGAGTGAAACTGGACCGTGTCTCTTGCCATATACAAAAATCAAATCAAAATGGATTAAAAACTTAAACCTAAGAGCTCCAACTATGAAACTACTACAAGAAAACATTGGGTCCAGGCACAGTGGCTCACACCTGTAATCCCAGCACTTTGGGAGGCTGAGGAGGGCAGATCACAAGGTCAGGAGATCAAGACCAGCCTGGCCAAAATGGTGAAACCTCATCTCTTCTAAAAATACAAAAATTAGCCAGGCATGGTGGTGCGTGCCTGTAATCCCAGCTGCCAGGGAGGCTGAGGCAGGAGAACAGCTTGAACTTGGGAGGTGGAGGTTGCAGTGTGCCGAGATTGCGCCACTGCAATCCAGCCTGGGCGACAAAGCGAGACTCCATCTCTAAATGAATGAAAGAATGAATGAATAAATAAATAAATAAAAATTTCAGGAAAATCTCCAGGACATTGGACCGGGCAAAGACTTCTTTTGAGCAATACCCCACAAGCAAAGGCACCAAAACAAACATGGACAAATGGGATCAAGTTAAAAAGCTTCTACACAGCAAAGGATGCAAGCAACAAAGTGAAAAGACAACCCACAGAATGAGACAAAATATTTGCAAATTACCCATCTGACAAGGGATTAATAACCAGAATATATAAGGGGCCCAAACAACTCTACAGGAAAAAATCTAATAACCCAATCAAAAACTGGGCAAAATATTTGATTAGACATTTCTCAAAGGAAGACACACAAATGCCAAACGGGCATATGAAAAGGTGCTCGACATCACTGATCATCAGAGAAATGCAAATCCAAACTACAATGAAATATCATCTTACCCCAGTTAAAATGGCTTATATTTAAAAGACGGGCAATAACAAATGCTGGTGAGGATGTGGGGAAAAGGGAACCCTCGTACACACTGTTGCTGGGAATGTAAATTAGTACAACCACTATGAAGAACAGTTTGGAGATTCCTCAAAAAACTAAAAATTGAGCTACCATGTGATCCAGCTATTCCACTGCGGGGTATACACCCAAAAGAAAGGAAATCAGTATATTAAAGAAACGTGTTTGTTGCAGCACTGTTTACAATAACTAAGATTTGGAAGCAACCTAAGTGCTCATCAACGGATAAGTGGATCAAGACAATGTGGTACATACACACAATGGAGTACGATTCAGCCACAGGAAGAATGAGATCCAGTCATTTGCAATAACATAGATGGAACTGGAGACCATTATGTTAAGTGAAATACACCAGCACAGAAAGACAAACATCACATGTTCTCACTTATTCGTGGGTTCTAAAAACCAAATCAACTGAACTTACATAGAGAATAGAAAGATGGTTATGAAAGGCTCAGAAGGGTAGGGGTTGGGGGTGAGGTGGGGATGGTTAATGGGTACTAAACAAATAGAAAGAATGAATTAAGACCTACTATTTGACAGCACAATAGGATGCCTATAGCCAATAATAGTTGTGTATTATTTTTTTTGAGACGGAGTCTCGCTCTGTAGCCCAGGCTGAAGTGCAGTGGCGCGATCTCGGCTCACTGCAAGCTCCGCCTCCCGAGTTCACGCCATTCTCCTGCCTCAGCCTCCCGAGTAGCTGGGACTACAGGCGCCCGCCACCACGCCCAGCTGATTTTCTGTATTTTTAGTAGAGACGAGGTTTCACCGTGTTAGCCAGGATGGTCTCGATATCCTGACCTCGGGATCTGCCCGCCTCAGCCTCCCAAAGTGCTGGGATTACAGGCGTGAGCCACCGTGCCCGGCCAACAATTGTGTATTTTAAAATAACTTAAAGTATGTAACTGGATTATTTGTAACTCAAAGGATAAATGCTTGAGGGGATAACCTATTCTCCATGACGTGCTTATTTCACATTGCATGTCTGTAACAAAACATCTCATGTACCCCATAAATACATACACCTATTTAGATACCCACAAAAAAATTTTTAAATAAAAGAAAAATTTAAAATTAAAAAAAAATCCATACCACTCCAGAATGATTAAAAAAATAAAATAAAATCTAACAATACCAAAGGTTAGCAGTAACAGGAACCTGCATACATTTCTCCTAGGAACGTAAGTTAGACAGCAAATTGGCAATATCTAGCCAAAATAAAGGTGCACATACTTTAAACTGTAACATTTGCACTATGTACCTGGAAGACCCTTTATCACGCTGAGAAAGTAATCTAACAGTTCTATGCATGTGGTCTCTGTATAAAATTCCCGAACGCTCTCTCACAGGGAATGTGGTTCCCCAGGCAAACCCTGCTGAGCCATCAGGGCCTAATTCCTCTGGTTCCACTCCTCCAAGAAGGCAGCTTCAACTAGCTTGATTAATACTGAACCAGTCCCTATACCAGTGGTTCCCAAACTTGTCTGTTTGTTGGATTCAAAGCTCGGACACAGACATCAGCAGTTTTTGAAGTTCATCAGGTGGTTCCAATGAGCACACCAGTAGGGAACCACTGCCTTCTACTACCAAACACCACTGATATATGTGAGCCGCTCGGGACATGGCAATGCCAAATATTGCATAAATGTGATTTATCATGTCTGCTACAGAAAGGTAAGCTGCTTAGAGGCAGGCTCAACAGCTGGTTTAGTGAAATGTACTGAAATGCAGGAGGTTAATAACACCGGTTCTCAGTGGTTCCTATCGGGGGTGGCTTGACCATGTTTGGAGACGTTACTGGTTACCACAGTGGGGAAAGAGGTATTACTGACATCCAGTGGGTAGAGGCCAGGGCCACTGCTAAACATCCTACACTGCACAAGACAGCCCTCGCTACCCTCAAAGAATCTTCTAGCCCAAAATGGCACTAGTGTTAATGCTGAAAAACCTTGACCTAGAGAAAGGCAAGCAGAGCAGAGCTGACTGAGAAGCATATAAAACGGCACTTAGCCAAAAAGAAAAAAGATCACCAAAAGTTTATAGTATGTGCAGATATCAACGTAAGGACACAGGAACATGAAAACATGAAAAAGAAACTTTATCAGAACATTTCCAATCGACTTCCTCCTCCAAGCCCTAGAAAATAAAGTTGTTGAGCTAGGTTACTAAGCATCCCCTGAAGAACGTGTACTGTGAGGAAAACGCTGGTGATTCTCACCCGTCTCCCAGAGTGGCTACCCTGTGTCTCATCCCCAACACCCACTTCTAAACCGCAAGTCACAATTACAGCTTTGCAGAATGAAAAAACTAATTAACTTTATCTTTTTTTTTTTTTTTTGAGGCAGAGTCTTGCTCTGTCGTCCAGGCTGGAGTGCAATAGTGTGATCTCAGCTCACTCTAACCTCCGCCTCTCGAGTTCAAGCGATTCTCCTGCCTCAGCCTCCTGAGTAGCTGGGACTACAGGCGCCCGTCACCACATCTGGCTAATTTTTGTATTTTTACTAGAGACAGGGTTTCGCCATGTTGGCCAGTCTGGTCTCAAACTCCTGACCTCAGGTGATCCGCCCACCTTGGCCTCCCAAAGTGCTGGGATTACAGGCACGAGCCACGTGCCTGGCCTGAAACAACTAATTAACTTTAGGAGGATATCAATAACACCTGTTAAGTGTGGCTAGCTAAATATGTTAAGTTCAATTCACATATTAGGAAATTATTTTTTTTTTCTTTTGAGACTGGGTCTCGCTCTGTTGCCCAGGCTGGAGTACAGTGATGTGATCATTAGCTCACTGTAGCCTCAAATTCCTGAGCTCAAGTGATCCTCTCATCTCAGCTTCTGGAGTAGTTGGGATCATAAGCATGCACCACCAGAGCCAGCTGATTTTTAAAATTTTGTGTAGAGACGGGGGTCTCACTACGTTGTCCAGGCTGGTCCCGAACTCCTGGGCTCAAGCAATCCACCCACCTTGACCTCTCAAAGTGCTGGGATTACAGGTGTGTGCCAGTGCCCAGCTGAAATCAACTAATTTTTAATTAAAGTCACATGCTACATAATGATGTTTTGGTCAATGATGGACTGTATACAGGCCAGTGATCCCATAAGATTATAATGGAGATGGAAAATTCCTAACACCTTGTGATGTCAGAGCTATCATAACATCATAGTATAACTTTTTTTTAATGAATTTGGTATAGCCTAAATGTGCAGTGTTTATAACGTCTACAAGAGTGTACCGTAATGTCCTAGGCCTTTACCACTGACTCACAGAGAGCAACTTTGAGTCCTCTGGTAAGTGCCCTATAAAACGTACCATTTTTAAATCTTTTATCATGTATTTTTTCTGTACCTTTTCTACGTTTAGCTATAGAAACACTTACCATGGTGTTACAACTGCCCTACAGTATTAAGTACAGTAACAAGCTGTATGGGAACAATGGTGCTAGCCTAGGAACAATGGACTGTCCCATAAGGCCTACGTGTGCAGAAGGCTGTGCCGTCTAGGTTTGTGTGAGTACACTCTGCGATATTCACACAATGACAAAACTGCCTAAGGACACATTTCTCAGGGCATACCCCTATTGTTAAGCGACTCATTACTGTATCAAGGCCTGTTCTGCTTTTCCTCTGCTCTGCACCCTCCCATCCCTCCCTCTCACATTCCTTAATTTTTTTCAATATGTTAGTTCTGATTTCACTATAACTAAGAGGAGATAGCTCTATAAAGCAGTGGTTGTTAACTAAGGCTATGAATTATAATCATCCGGGAAGATTTAAAAATTACCGAGAGGCAGCCACACCCTCCCTCATTCAGATTCAGTCAGTCAAAGTGGGACTCAGGTATTGGGGTACATTTAAGAGACCCCAGTGTTATTCCAATGTGCAGCCACGGTTGAGAGTCATCATCCTAAATGAGCACATAATCTAATAACCACTTATTATCCTAACTTGGCCAGACTTAATTTCTTTGGCTCCCAGAAAATAGGTGACTAGAGAAGGGAAACTTTTCTAGCCGGCAAATAATCTCCAGGTGCAGAAATATAAAAAGAATATGAACCACTGGCACGTTGTTAAGTGGACATCGAATTATACAATAGAAATCAGTTGGAAAATACTGCTTAACCTTATACTCTGCTTTATAGATATCTTAGCAAGTATACTTGTGTTTCTGTAAAATTAAAAATAATTTTAAATTTTCAAATAAAAAGATACTAAGAACTAAAGTTCAGCTTGAAACTAATTTTTCGGCTCCTTTGTCCACAAATTTCTTCTTCCGAAATTTTACTTCTAACGTTAAACAGTCTTCTTTAAAACGCCAGGTATGACAAAGATTCATTTACAAACGGGTACCTCGATAACAGGACTCTCGGCAATGGCAGTGAGAGTGACGGTGCTGGCCAAAGCTTCCGCCTGTACGATGGTCTCAGCATCTGTCGAACACGGCCAAGAAGCAACACTGAATGTGCATCTGAAAACCCCAGGACTGGATGGGATAAAAAGCACTTTTATCTCTTCTGTGGTATGAGGCCTTATGATGGCTTTATTCTTGAAAACTAAACAACGATATGTTGAAAGATCCACCTTCAAAAAAGAGCCACAAAGTTCGTTATTAATGACTTCACAATGAAAATCAAGTAGAATCACCTAGTTTAAGATTCCTTTTCCCAATCACTCAAACTGCCAAATTAAGACATTTATTATCCTTCAAAAACGTCAAAACCTTGTCATTCATGGTCTCTAAAGTACAACGAGTCAAATCCTTCATGAGTTGAATGTTCTTGCTGCACCAGGGCTGTCTCCCCAGTCCATCTCCAAGCAAGCACATTGACCTGTACACTCACTTGTCTTAAAAAGGACACTGACAAGGGTCACTCTTTCACAGCCCTGTAAGTCTCTCTAGGACACACAACACAGTGGTGGGCGGGGGCTGGGGGAGGAAGAGTCAGGCTAACCACTGAGGTCCCACAGCCCTGACTCTGCTTCAACCGCAGTGACAACTCCAGTCACCCTCCCTCCTCACTGTCAATGGGATCTTCTTTTCCACTCT